GCTGCAATGTACATGAGGCCTTGGAGAAATGAAAAGGTTTTCGATCCTTCATTACTCAGTGGCTCATTTGTGAGTTTAAGATCTTAATGAGAACATTCTTGTGTACAATGAATGGTTTGACTGTGGCATCTATGTAGTCTGCCATGTTTTGTGTTCTTTTTATATACTGTATGTCAGGGCTTGAAAAAGCCGCTCGCCAAATGCGAGGAAATTCTCTAGCGGCGAGCACAGATGATGGAGCGGCTGTGCTCCAAGCCTCAATGTGAAGCCGAGTTCCGGATTCTTCAGCACCGCTGCTGAGGGGACAGGTGCAGGAGAGGTCCACTCTCCTCCGCTGAGAGGAGACACCCTCTCCACCGCCGCGGGTGACTCAAGGAATAAGTACTGTATACATGTCATATCACTATAATGGAGTACAGGGGAGCTGGGATATACAATACTGTATACAGGTCATATCACTATAATGGAGTACAGGGGAGCTGGGATATACATTACTGTATACACGTCATATCACTATAATGGAGTACAGGGGAGCTGGGATATACTGTATTTTTCGCTCCATAAGACGCACCTAGGTTTTAGAGGCAGAAAACAGGAAAAAAAAATTCTGAACTAATGGACTGCAGACACAGTACAGGAGATGACCAGAGACTGCGGCCACAGTACAGGAGATGACCAGAGACTGCGGACCACAGTACAGGAGATGACCAGAGACTGCGGCCACAGTACAGGAGATGACCAGAGACTGCGGCCACAGTACAGGAGATGACCAGAGACTGCGGCCACAGTACAGGAGATGACCAGAGACTGCGGCCACAGTACAGGAGATGACCAGAGACTGCGGCCACAGTACAGGGATGACCAGAGACTGCGGCCACAGTACAGGGATGACCAGAGACTGCGGCCACAGTACAGGGATGACCAGAGACTGCGGCCACAGTACAGGGATGACCAGAGACTGCGGCCACAGTACAGGGATGACCAGAGACTGCGGGCCACAGTACAGGGATGACCAGAGACTGCGGCCACACTACAGTACAGGGATGACCAGAGACTGCGGCCGGACACACTACAGGGATGACCAGAGACTGCGGCACACTACAGGAGATGACCAGAGACTGCGGCCACACTACAGGGATGACCAGAGACTGCGGCCACAGTACAGGGATGACCAGAGACTGCGGCCACAGTACAGGAGATGACCAGAGACTGCGGACACACTACAGGAGATGACCAGAGACTGCGGACACACTACAGGAGATGACCAGAGACTGCGGACACACTACAGGAGATGACCAGAGACTGCGGACATACTACAGGAGATGACCAGAGACTGCGGACACACTACAGGAGATGACCAGAGACTGCGGACACACTACAGGAGATGACCAGAGACTGCGGACATACTACAGGAGATGACCAGAGACTGCGAACACACTACAGGAGATGACCAGAGACTGCGAACATACTACAGGAGATGACCAGAGACTGCGGACATACTACAGGAGATGACCAGAGACTGCGGACATACTACAGGAGATGACCAGAGACTGCGGACATACACTACAGGAGATGACCAGAGACTGCGGACATACTACAGGAGATGACCAGAGACTGCGGACATACTACAGGAGATGACCAGAGACTGCGGACAGCACAGGGATGACCAGAGACTGCGGATAGTACAGGGGAAGACTGCTGACCTTTGGGGAGGGGGGCGGAGCGGGTACCTGAATTTGACAGGTACCCGCTCCCACTTCCGCGGAGTTGTTCTTTCATCTTACCTGTTCCTCTATCCAGCCGCGCGCTGTCTTCCCGGCTTCTGTAATGGAGCTCGGCATGACAGCCGGGTGCCCAGTGCGCATGAGCGAGAAGCACTTGCGCTTTGTGATTGGTCCGGCGGCTTCTGGGATCTGTCATGTGTCCCAGGTGCCGCCTTACCATTCACAAAAAGCACCGCTTCCTGCGCATGCGCACTTGGCATCCGACTGTCATGCCCACACTACAGAAGCCGGGAAGACCGCGCCGCTGGATAGAGGAACGGGTAAGATGAAAGAAGAACTCCACGGAAGTGGGAGCGGGTATCTGTCAAATTCAGGTACCCGCTCCCCCCCTCCCCAAAGGTCAGCAGTCATCTCTATAAGGTCCCACTGTAGAGCTGAGCGGCCGGCCCGGTATTCTGACACGGCGGCAGTGGAAATACCGAACCGGCCGCTCCATATTCGCTCCATAAGACGCACTGACATTTTCCCCCCTTTTTTGGGGGGAAAAAAGTGCGTCTTATGGTGCGAAAAATACGGTACATTACTGTGTACATGTCATCACTATAATGGAGTACAGGAGAGCTGGGATATACATTACTGTGTACATGTCATCACTATAATGGAGTACAGGGGAGCTGGGATATACATTACTGTGTACATGTCATATCACTATAATGGAGTACAGGAGAGCTGGAATATACATTACTGTGTACATGTCATATCACTATAATGGAGTACAGGGGAGGGGGGATATACATTACTGTATACATGTCATATCACTATAATGGAGTACAGGGGAGGGGGGATATACATTACTGTATACATGTCATATCACTATAATGGAGTACAGGGGAGGGGGGATATACATTACTGTATACACGTCATATCACTATAATGGAGTACAGGGGAGGGGGGATTTACATTACTGTATAGTTTTCTATTTTTTACTCTTTATTCTAAAGAAAAATGTAATTTCATAAGTTTTAAGGGGGCAGGGCTGGGGGCGGGCCGGGGTTGGAGGTAGACCTGGGCAAGGTTGGGTGGGGCAACTGATGGAGAGTAAGGTTTGTGCCTGGCTAGTAGGTCTAGACTCGAAAGTTTTAAGCCCTGCTGTATGTATATGACTATGCTTGTCCTCCTTAGAAGTATATGTGGTCTTTTTAGTCCTGTATAGATTAATATTAGAATCCCTGTCAGTTTTGCTGTCTATATCTCTGCTAGATGCATTCAAGCTACATTTCCTAAGACAGAAACTGATTGGAAATCCAAAATTTTACAGTGATCCTCAGGACAGAATGTGAAGGGAAGCATTACATTTGGGACATCTTTTAGGCTGCATGCACAATAGCATTTTTTATAAGCTCACATAATGCTAGAAAAAGAAACGTTGGAGGAAAAATGCTAATTAGGCTCCATGCATTCTAATACCAAAAGAAAAAAAAATGCCAGAAAAACACTGGATAAAAAACACTTATGGAGTATTTGTGCCAGCTTTTAGCAAAAGTTAGCTTTTTTTATTCTGCTGGCAAATCACTCCCAAAAATGCACTTTGATGCTTCACCTTGAAGTTGAAGCATCAAAAAACTTTTAGACTAAAATACTGTGCATGAACACATAGGATAACAATACTTGCTTCTTGAAGCAGAAAAAAAGTGCTCAAAAGCTGCTGCTAGGAGCATTTTTTTTTAAGCTAGTGTGCATGGAGCCTAATGGTGTTTTTTTTTTTTTTTTTTTTTTTTTTTGTGATGGCTTTGTGGTAGCGTTTAGGAGCATTCAGCTGTTTGTTTGTTTTTTGTTTTTTTTTTTCCCCCTGCTTTGAAAATGCTCCCAAAAAGCTCTACAAAAGCATTTTTTCTCTGCTCCTAAATGCTGAAGCTTGAAAAAACGCTTCTAGCCTAAAAATAGTGTGCATGGACATATAGGAGAACACTAGTGGGGCAGCACAGTGGCTAAATGGTTAGCACTTCCGCCTGGCAGTACTAGGGTTGTTGGTTCGGATCCCAACCACAGCACCACCTGCCTGGAGTTTGCTTGTTCTCCCTGTGCGTGCGTGGATTGTAATAAATAGCTTCTAGGGGCAGAAAAAAAAAATACTACTCATCGCTTCTAGGAGCCTAAAGAAAAACACTGGTGTGTGTGGAGCCTTACAATTACAGTTGTCCAAAAGAGATTTTTTTACTTTGTAGAGATTTTCTTCTCACTTCTAGGCATGAAGTGAATGGAGTTCTCCACGACAGGATGCAGACAACAAAAAAAATACACAGGAGTTTTAACCCTTTCTTACCCTGTTCACAAAATATACACATTTTATCGTGGCCTAAAACTGTTGACAGTAAATTTGCGGACTATAGAGGATCATCCGTTTTTCCTGTATAATCTCTCCACCCCGTTCCTCAAAGTTTCCAAGAGTTTTGACATACCTGAGAAATTGAAGATTATAGCATAAACTATGCAATTTTCTTACCTTCCACAAGAAAAGTGCTCGATTCCCCATCAAATACAGTCAGTGTTGATGGGGGAATCCCTCCCGCATCTTAACTCCCCTTTCCCTGTAATAAAACAAAACTTGAAATCTGCAGCACAGTAAAATGAACAGTGTGATCAGGTTAGAGGGACATTCCTTTCTTTGTATTCCCTCCCTCTTAGATTGTAAGCTCCAAGGAGCAGGGCCTTCCTAACCCTCTTGTATCGTTCTGTATTGTTGCTGTATTGTATCTTTATATTGTAAAGAACTGAGCAAACTGTTGGTGCTATATAAATCCTGTATTATAAGAATAATAATTTTAGGATTTGAATCTTGTTTTCAAAGCCAGCTAGTGTAAAATGTCCTCATAAAACCCTCCACGACAGGCAAAATAGTGTAAAATCTTCTTGCACTCATTCAGTACCCTCCAACTGTGCCTGCTTGGAATGACCGATGATCTGCTTAGCTTGTCCACATTAATTATGCCATGTGATCATTTGGAATTAAGCAAGCATTAGCGGTGCCTGTCTGCTTAGTCTAGGAGTCAGCATAGTCCCAACTGAGCCTCAGTTTTTACTGTTATGGCTGGCACTGGCAGAAAACTAGGTAATTGGACTAATCATTTAACATTTTGTCTGACTGCACATACTTAAACAGCCGGTCAGTATGAGCATCAGAAAAGTTTTTGTTGTTTGTTAGCTTTGTTCCTGATATAATTTTGTACAGCTGCATAAAAATACCCTATTAATCTGCATGTTTCTTTTCTCTTGTAGTCGATGCTGATGAGATCAAAAGGCTAGGAAAAAGGTTTAAGAAACTTGACTTGGACAACTCCGGATCTCTGAGTGTAGAGGAATTCATGTCTTTACCTGAGCTGCAACAGAACCCTCTCGTGCAGCGAGTAATAGACATATTTGACACTGATGGAAATGGAGAGGTAGACTTTAAAGGTAAGATGTTATTACTACTGTTTTTAGCCCCTATATCAAGTAATTTGTACATATGTAAACATTGAGTCTGGCTTATTTAAATTTTATAAAATACCTGTTTTATATTGTGATTATTTTGATTTTTTAAAAATATCTTTCTAATAGGTTTGTCTTTTTCTTTAAATTATAATACAGAAAAAAAGTTACTGCTGCCTTCAGAATTTACTTAAAAACGAAAAAAAAAAAAAAACCCCCCCCTTAAACTGAACAAATTAGTGTCATAGCATGTAGTAGATTAGAGGAAAAGGCCAAGGTGATTTACCGCCTAAGAGTCTTTACACATAAGACCTATTTGCCACTTGGTTAATGCGTACATCTTTGTAATGACGTTTGCCTGCATAGACTAGTATAATTCTTGGACCTATGTGGCATTTAACCCCTGTACGTTTTGAAGTGCACCTGATTGCAGAAGTAATATTTTTAAAGTAGACCAAAAGCCAAACCTTTTTTTTTTTTTTTTTTTTTGGACAGAGTGGAGAGGGATTAGACCACCTGTCATTTTCTATTGCTGTCTGTGCCCCTGTTAAGAAAATTCACCCCCTCTGTTTATCCTGTTTACCATTATCATTGAAATTGAAAGTAAAAGAACATCCCAAATTTTGGGTTGTGTATAGAAAACCCTCAGCGCAATAGACCTCCTACAAAACCAATTGTGCGGCTAGCATATAATGTGTTCCCACATGTAAACCATAAATCGTTAAAAAATTCAGCACAGCAATATAAACACAAATATAGTGCTAATAATATAAATGTGCATATATGAATAGTGAAAACAGAAATTGTGTTTGTGACAATAAATATGTGCTACACCAAATGTCTTATCAATGCATACACATGGATACCCATAGAACTGCACATAACAGTGCTCAAAATGAATAGTGCATGCAAATACCAAATAAAATGTTCTTAATAGTGGACTGTCCCTTTACTTTTCAGATATCTTCACGTGTGCTTGTGCGGTATGTCTCCTATATATCGTGATCCAAATACACCAGTAAAAAGTGTCTCATAACTAAAATCTCAAAACAATGGTGAACCATCCCTTTAAAAACCACCTTCAGCACTTTAAAATTCTCCAGAATGCTCCACAATCATATGGAAAAAATGGTCCATATAGTATAGTATTGCCAAGCAAAATGGACTTTATTAAAATAATCAACATAAACTCACATTTAAAAGTGCCCTTCTGGGACACTACAGGATAAAAACTCACTATACAATATGTCTTTTGAACAATGTACAGAAATCCCTTTTCCAAAATGGCGGCATGTACACGTTCGGTTTGCGGCTTGATGTCACCGGCGTTCCCAACGGTACCACCAACTTCAAGCTAAAACAATATTACAATTTAGCGCTGCACAACATTAATATCTTGCTAGTAAGAGCATGGGAATCAGAATTAACTAAAATTATTAATGTTGTGCAGCGCTAAATTGTAATATTGCAAGTTATTTAAATGGCTGCGTAAATTATTGTTACAATATATCTAGTATAAAGATGACTGTACCTTCAGAGAGTATAGACATTGATATTACATATAATTTTTTTTTTTTTGTGTTAATCATTTTGGTCACTGGTAGCTGAAGTCACAAGACATGATGATAAAGAGCTACTTATAACATACACAATTAGGACATTAGTGTGTCTGTGAAGGTCTAATTTATGGTATAGCTAATAGTATTTGGTCACATTCAACTGGACTTATTCTATAATGTTGAAGGCATTTTGTAGCTTGTCCAAGCCACTTCATTGGTTCTAATGAGTGTCAGGAAAATACTCTAGTATAATCCAATCACTGTAGAATGTGTCAAGGCAGATGATGATCAATATCTGTCCTGACACATTCCATTGGGATTTGATTAATGTGTTGGACTACAAGTGTTGATATGCAATGCATTCAGAAAGTATTCAGACCCCCTTCACTTTTTTAAATTTTTTTATGTTGCAGCCTGAGACTACAGTTGTTTAAATTCATATTTTTTCTCATTAATCTACACTCAGTACCCCATAATGACAAAGTGAAAACAGAATATTATGCAGGCCATAGACTGTTCGTTTATCGGCCGAATGTTCGACTGAAAAACGAAACATCGGTCGTTCTGTTGCCAGCAATGCTTACAAAAATCGGCCGTTTTTCGTAAATTTTCCAGCATGACGGATAAAAGAAATGAGGAGGAACTGCGAAAATCGGCCGATGACATTGCCCCACTAATGGTGCGAATATCGGCCGATTATTCTTTTGGATGGAAATTCGGCCGATAAATGAACCGTCTATGGCCTGCATTAGAAATGTCTGAATTTATGAAAAATAAAAAAAAATAAATACCACATTGGCATAAGTAATCAGACCCGTTGCAAGAACACTTGAAATTTAGCTTAGGTGCCTTCCATTTCACTTGATTGTTGCTTAGATGTTTCTGCACCTTGATTGGAATCCAAGTTTGGTAAAGTCATTTGATTGGAAAGACACACACCTCCCTATAAAAGACCTCGCAGCTGGTAATGCATACTGTATCAGACGAAAAGCCATGAGCTCAAAGGAGCTGCCTTGCAGAGCTCAGAGATTATTGCAAGGCATAGATCTGGGGAAGGCTACAAAAACATTTTTGCTGCACTGAAGGTCCCAAGAGCACTTCGGCCTTCACAGTTCTAAAAAGTGGAAGAAGTTTGGCATAACCAGGACTCTTGCAAGAGCTGGTTGCCCGCCAAACTGCTTAATCATGGAAGGGTCTTAATAAAATGTGACCAAGAACCCAATGGCCACTCTGACTGAGCTCCTGTGTGGAGATGGGACAAAGTTCAGAGAAGGACAACCATCACTGCAGCCTTCCACTGATCTGGGCTTTATGGCAGAGTGGCTAGACGGAAGCCTCTCCTCAATGCCAAACACAGGAAAGCCCACTTGGAGTTTGCAACAAGGTTTTCCTGACACTCAGATCTGAGAAAGTGGCTTGTATTGGCTATGAAATGTCTTCAACATTACAGAACGGGTCTCAATGTGACTACTATTATCAACATTTATATAACTTTGATCTGCAGTCTCCTGCCAGTCTTGTCAAAATATTACTTCCTGTTATGTCACCTTAAGGAGCGCTTATGCAACATTGACAAATCTAGCTGAAACTGTAAAATCCGATACTCATTTCCACATTGTATTTCAATAATTTCTAGTCAACTCCTTTTAAGCTGAATGATCTCCGAAGTTTGTAAATTTTGTTAGAGTTTTACACATTTACTGCGTGAAGTTTGTGACACGTATTTTTTTTTTTAAGTATGCGGATATTGGATTGTCAAACTATGGTTTGTACTTCTAATAAAATGATATAGAAGGAAAGTGTATGGTGTGACCATACAGTAGAACTCCTTTAATAATGATGGGGGCAGGATTTTAGACCTGCAGTCCTCCAAACGGCTACTATGACCACAGAGTACTCTGGTGCCACATCATTTGACACTGTGATAATATCAGGCTGTCATACAACCTAACCTATTTACAACACCCATGTTGGGGTGGAGTTCTCCTAGTAGGGGAGGTGAACTGTGTGCACTCAGTAGATGGTTTGAGGTCAGGCAGTTACAGGGCAGCAGCTATCGCATTACATATGAAACGTAAGATGCTTCATATGAGAACTCATTCACATGGCTGCAGCTGGCTATAAACCACCAAGAATGAGCATGTCTGTCTGCACCCGGGAGTTCCAGGTGTTTGTGTACAGCCAGCAGCCTGTGTATATTAGTGACAGGCTGATGGACACTGTGGCAGTATACATACATGCGGATGGATGAGCAAGCCTTGCACACACTATCTGCATATCTGCATGTGGTACATGCATGCAGCCGTGGTGTCTGTCAGCCTGTGACTGATTTGTATGGACTGTTGGTCCTGGCTGTTCACCTGTGACTTTTGGGTGCAGAAAAGAAAGTATGCCAGCACAATAAAAATGTGATTATATTCATATAGATCTATACTCCCATTTGTGGTTGGTTTTCTTAAAAGGGTGAGTTTAGTACACTTTCAGTGAGTGCATTTTTTTCAGTTGTAGTGCTTATTGTACAATTCGAATGGCTTTGACATTTTTGCCTTTGTATATGTGTTTTTTTTGCTTTAAGAATACTGAAAACTGCTGAACTGTATAAACGGCGGACATTTTGAGGGCCCATTGCTTCCCTGTATGCTGACTGGGCAAAGATTCATCATCTCCTCAATGCTGAAACTTGCCTGCCACCTCCCACACATTCCTATTGGCCACATAGGTAGCTCATTATACTGAGGGGCTCATAGGAATGTGCGGGGGCAGCACTTGGCAAGCTGAGACACTACCTGAAAGGGACTAACACAAAGTTTAGCGCTGTCAGTCTCATGACCAGGGTATATCTTTGACCACTATTATACTATTGCACACAAATGGTTTTGGAAGTCACAGTAAATTATATGCAGTTTTACCGACTTTCTTCTCAGGGAATCTGCGCTTGATCTATGTACTACCTGAAAGTGACAGCATACTGTACAGGCTCTGACAAGTGTCAATCAAAACTTAAGTTTTTGAAAGCTGCTTGTAGATATGTGTTGCCACTTTTTTTTTTCTGAAGCATAGGTATTCTTTTCTGTCTGTTTCAGTTTCCTGAAAACAGATATTAGGTTAACCTCTCGAGTCAGACATTTAAAAAAAATTTTTCATGATATAAGTTATTTTAGTCCTGAGAATTATTTAAAACCCCCAAACATTATATATTTTTTGGAAGCAGACATTCTAGGGAATATAGTTCCAATTTTTTATGTTACAGGATATTAGTGCAACAGTTTGAAATGCAAAATTTCTGTAAAAAAATGCACAAATGCTAATTTTAGGGCACATAAATGCAATAAATGACCCAATATTTCGGTGAAATATAAAAGAGGTTGCAGCAGGTAAATAGAATAACCAACATGTCAAGCCTTAAAAACTTCAATACCCTATATTTTCCATAGGCGACTTTTTAAAAGCCCCCATGGGTCATCACTTTAGAGTTACCCAGGAGCACTGGTGCTAGAATTATTGCTTCCATACTGGTGATATGTAACATGTCGAGGGCAATGGCCATTTTCATTTGTAGGTGTGTGTGTATGTGTGTGTGTGTGTGTAGGCTTTTTATTTTAAAACAGTGCTGGGACTCAAGTGGTTAAGGTGAATGTTACAAAACTAAGTAAAAATATACATTCATTGGAAATATCAAAAAGATAGAAAGCATTGTGTGGATTCACACATATGCGGTGCGATTTGAAGCTCTGTTTTCACAGCGAGTAGAAATTAGTTGTTCAGTGATTCAGGCCAGGTTTAGATCAGCTTCAGGACAGGATTTTTGATATAGCTGTGAATTCTGTGACTGAGCAAACTGTGCTGAAATCCTGTTTACAACCGATGAGGTGCGATTCAGAAGCGGTTCCCACTGAAGTCAATGATACTGCAATCCACACCTGAACCGGACCACACTGCTCAGAAATTGGACAAGACTTTTTGAATTTGCACTGAATCAGCACTGCATTTTTGTGGACAGGCATAATAGAAATCAATCTTAGTTCAATTGTCATGCGAATTGGATGCGGTTCATAATGCATCCAATCCACAAATGTGTACCAGCCCTGAAGATGCATCCCCTCCCTATTAAATTCTAAGCAGTCATGAGCAGGGCCCTCTTAACCCTATTGTAATGAATTGTATTGTAACTGTACAGTTTCCCTTTATATTGAAAGTTCTGCACAAACTGTTTTCACTAGATAAATCCTGTATAATAATAATTAAAAAGCAATGGTTGTCTGACCGATCAGTGTTCTCTGAGTAACCACTGTCTGAGAGAAGGGTTTTCTCCATTTGCTTCCCACAACACCCAATCAGATTCTGCTTTGCTTTCTTTCATGCTGTATACATTAGAAATGTCCTATTTATTGGTCTTTAGTAATCTCTTATGTATGTTTTACTCTCTACATCCATGGGCAATAAATGTCAGTGTTGTCAAAGATATGTCAACAATTTTAAAATTGTGATCCATTTTTGTTTTATTTTCAGAATTTATTGAAGGAGTTTCTCAGTTCAGTGTAAAGGGTGACAAGGAGCAGAAACTGAGGTGTAAGTATTACATGTAGTGTGCAGACATGTATATGTGTAGTCCTATGTGTGCGCCTCTGACACATTTATTTCAGCCATGAGGACAATATGTGCGTTTGTTTTTTAGAGGCGGTCCTACAGAATTCTTCTGTCAGCTAATGTAATGCTACAAGACACTGTAGATGCAGTTTATATAAAGCATGATTCTTACCCTACTGCAAACACCCTCTTTGATCTTTATTAAATATGAATATTAAAATCTTTGCTTATGTATCTTTACTGCAAACATACAGTTGTGTCCAAAATTATTCAACCCCCACTGAAATTGAGTGTTTTGGCCAGTTTGACATTGCTTTTGATCATTCAGTCATCTTGCTTACATTTACATTAAAGAGGCACTTGTAGGTCAGACAAATATAACATAACAGTTATAATGAAATAACCACAAATGTCTTTTCTGTGCTCACAGCATTATCAGTTTTATTCAACCCCCAAGTGACATTCAATCTTAGTACTTAGTACAGCATCCTTTTACAGTTATAACAGCTTTTAAACGTGAAGCATAGCTTGACACAAGTGTCTTGCAGCGATCTACGGGTATCTTCGCCCATTCTTCATGGGCAAAGGCCTCCAGTTCAGTCACATTCTTAGGCTTGCGCACTGCAACTGCTTTCTTTAAGTCCCACCAGAGGTTCTCAATCGGATTTAAGTCTGGTGACTGCGATGGCCACTCCAAAATGTTCCAGCCTTTCCTCTGCAACCATGCTCTAGTGGACTTGGAGGTATGCTTGGGATCATTGTCCTGTTGAAAGGTCCAACGTCTCCCAAGCCTCAGGTGTGTGACGGACTGCATCACGTTTCCATCCAATATCTCCTGGTACTGAAGAGAATTCATGGTACCTTGCACACGCTGAAGCTTCCCTGTACCTGCAGAAGCAAAACAGCCCCAAAGCATGATTGACCCTCCACCATGCTTCACAGTAGGCAAGGTGTTCTTTTCATCATAGGCCTTGTTCTTCCTCCTCCAAACATAGCGTTGATCCATGGGCCCAAACAGTTCTAATTTTGTTTCATCAGTCCACAGAACACTATCCCACAACTTTTGTGGTTTGTCCACATGGCTTTTGGCATACTGCAGTCGACTCTTCTTATTCTTTGGAGACAGCAAGGGGGTACGCCTGGGAGTTCTGGCACGGAGGCCTTCATTACGCAGTGTGCGTCTTATTGTCTGGGCTGAAACTTCTGTACCCACATCTGACAAATCTTTTCTCAGTTCCTCAGCAGTCACACGGGGACTTCTCTCCACTCTACGCTTCAGGTAGCGCACAGCAGTCGAAGTCAGCATCTTCTTTCTGCCACGACCAGGTAGCGTTTCAACAGTGCCCTTTGCCTTGAATTTGCGAATGATGCTTCCTAAGGTGTCTCTTGGTATGTTTAACATCTTTGCAATCTTCTTATAGCCATTGCCCTTCCTGTGAAGAGAAATCACCTCTTCTCTTGTCTTCCTGGACCATTCTCTTGCCTTCACCATGTTTGTAACCACACCAGTAAATGTCTAGAAGGAGCTGAGTATCACAGTCATTTTAAAGCTGCCTAATTGGTGCTTATTATGCTTGATTGCTGCTCGGTGACATCCACAGGTGTTTTCAATACCTGATGGAAAGCACCTGTATGAACCTCTGTTCTTCAGAGTGGTAGTCTTTAAGGGGTTGAATAATTGTGGCAATGAAGAAACCACATAAGAACCATTTACTACTGTATTACATAAACAATTGATGTCATTTTAGTTGCATTTGGGTAGTTACAACGTCCTTGTAGGATTTGATTCTGAATACAATTCCAAATGTACACTATAGTCCCTAAACCCCTTTACAGTATTGGGGGTTGAATAATTTTGGACACAACTGTATTTCCCTTAAGTTAATCATACAGGAAGTGAATGGCGTATGTGATCACCATCTGGTCTGTAACTGGCAACAAGTTTTTGCAGAGTTTTTATCGTGATTTGGATCACACAGTGCAATGATGGTTTATTTCTTATCCTCCATAGCAAAGAGATTTATTTGGTTCCACGGATATTTTCCGACATGTCAAACAATGTCTAGGTGTATTAACCACTTCCAGTCCGGACACTTTTACCCCCTTCCTGCCTAGGCCAATTTTCATCTTTCAGCGCTGTCACACTTTGACAATTGCGCGCTTATGCAACACTGTACCCATATGAATGTTTTAGCATTTTTTGAGACCGATAAAACTTTATTTTTAGTGGTATTTATTCCCACTGGGATTTTTATTTTTTTTGCTATATAAATGAAATGTCCAAAAATTTTAAAAGTGTTTCTTATAAAATTTTGCAAATAATCTTTCTTCATAAATCTTGGACAAAATGTATTCAGTTATCTTTTTAGTAAAAAAAAAAAAAAAAACAAATTAGTTTAGAACTAAAAATTATAAATTTTCAAAAAACATTTTTTACATTTTTATTTAATTTTTTAGATTTTTTTTTTTAACATGCTATCACCCTAGCAGTACAGTGTCACCATAGTGGCACTGTACTACTTGTGGGGGGTGATTGCTTTTACACCCATAAAGGCTGTAAAAGCAATAATTTCTCCTTCTCTCTGGCTGCATTCTTGCAGCCATTGAGAAATACTGTGAGAGCTGTGATTGGTCACAGCTTGTCACATGGTTCAAGGCTGTTGTGAATAGCCTTGTACCATGTGATCTCTGTGATCATTCATAGATTTCAGAAGTAGTAAGCAATGATGTCAGAAGTGACATCTTGCTTACTACTATTCATGTGATCACTGATTGGCCAATCCGTGATCACGTGAACGGGACCTCACACAGAGGTCAGCGAACAGTGTTCCCAGGGAGCGAGCACAGGCTAAAATGGCGGGCGCTGTTTTTAAACGGCAACCCGCTCCTACACTGCTCCCGTCAGGCCGTTTATATACATGGGCCAGATGGGAAGTGGTTAAATAGATGTTGAAGGTAGTTTTTACATTTTTTTTTTTTTTTTTTTTATTTAATAAACATGTCATACTTATTTTTTCTGTGCAGTGGATTTACAAAGAGTAGCCCCGATCCTCCCAATTCTTGGGTCCCCCACTGCCACTCCTAGCCCCTCCCTCCTGCCTTGTGCAACTTTTTATAAGGGCACCCCACTAGGCTCCATCCCGAGTCGCTGCTCTGTGTGTCCATTCACACACGCAGTTTGACTCGGCTCCACCCCACGTTTTCCCCTCAATGGCTCACTGGCTGTGATTGACAGTAGTAGGAGCAAATGGCTCTTGCACACCACCGCTGAAGCTCTTGCACACCGCTGGATTAAGATAGGGCTCAGGTAAGTTTTAGGGGTGCTGGGGGCACTGCTGCACATAGGCTTTTTACCTTCATGTATAGAATGCATGAAGGTAAAAAACCTTGAACCTTTACAACCACTTTTTAAACCTATCAGGTTTTTATTAATACTTCTGCCTGTTTTAGGGAGATTCGCCCTCTCTCTGTCTTTATTTATCCTGTTTATCATTTCCATTGGCAGTGAAAGTAAAAGAAAATCCCAAATTTTGGGTTGTCACTAGAACCTGAATAGAGGGGAAATCTTCCAATGGGGACACTAGTTCTGGTGATCTGGGTGGCCCCAAGAGATTCCCTTGATTTGCAGGGATTTCCTGTTTTGGCCATGGGATAGGAAGTAAAGGTAAATATACACAGTGGGACACAAAAAAAAATAAATAAAAAATCTGACAGGGATTATAACCCTCCCTAATCCAGAATGAAAAAAAAATCTGCCTATAGTTCTGCGTTAACATTTGGAAGCACTTTGCTGTAAAACTTTACATGGTCTAAATATAACAAGCCCCATCTAAAAATGTGCGTTGCTTGCTTTTAAGTAAGATTTGTCATCTTAAGAATGTGTGAGTGTGATAGGGATGGTAGATAAGCCCTTCTGGAAATTGATATGAGTGGTTAAAAATGGTCTGCTTTGTATGGTGGGCAGACCATACAAAGCAATATGCTTGCTGCAAATCAGGCAACATTGGGTACGAGCAGCATTTGATCCACAGTTTTTCCTTGGGGACTTCAGATGAAATCCCTGTACTCACGTTTCCATGAGGTTTACCAACTCCAAGTGTAAGTAAAGTATATGTTTGGGTGGAATACCTAAACGGAATACAGGCAGCGCAACATAATAAAATTTATACCAGCAGCTAAAAGAAAAATCAAGTGAAATACGTTGTGATCATTAATATAATAATGATAATGTGCCACTCCACCGTGTACAGCTAATACACAACAAAAGTATGCCATTAAAAAAAAAGTCCCAAATATTATAGCAGTGCTTTAATTATAAAAAATAATATATTGCACTTACATAGTATATAGCACTGCTGCCAGTGCTAACTGAGTACGTGTCATAAACCGATCGCCGGCATACAGCCCGACATTCAGGATTGCTGCGGAGTGATGTCACACTCGTAGCTCCGCCCCTATACACATTGCATTCAAGGCAGGGACTTCTTTAGTAGGCTCCTACTGATGGCAGTGCTGTACTATATACGTGTAAAAAAAGAAAAAAATTTTTTTTTGTATAATTAAACCAGCATTTTAACCACTTCAAGTCTAGACACTTTCGCCCCCCAGTCCAGTCCAGCCATTTTTCAGCTTTCAGTGCTCTCACACTTTGAATGAAAATTGCACGGTCATGCAACACTGTACCCATATGATTTTTTTTGAGACAGATAAAACTTTATTTTGGTGGTATTTATTCACCACTGGGATTTTTTTTTTTTTTTTTTATATAAATGAAAAAGTCCAAAACATTTTTTTAAAAAAAGTTTTTTAAAAAAAATTTTTTGCAAATAATCTTTCTTCATAAATCTTGGCCAAAATGTATTCAGCTATCTTTTTGGTAAAAAAAAATAACCCAGATTAGTTTATAACCAAAAATGTATAATTTTTTTAAAAAATGTTTTACATTTTTATTTTTTTTATATTATTTGTTTTTTTTTTTTTTT